GGTCACCATGCCTGGCTCATGTTTTTTTGGTAGAGAAGAGTTCTGTGTTGCCCAGAGTGGTCTTCAACCCCTGGCCTCAACTGACCCTCTCTCCCCAGCCTCCCAAAGTGCTGGGCTTACAGGCATGAGCCACCACACCTGGCCACACAGTGTGACTTTCTATTTTGTTCTTTTTAAAAACAATTATTTTTGTTAATGTTATTTTACAAAACAATTTTTGAGACGAAGTTTCGCTGTAGTCACCCAGGCTGGATTGATCTCGGCTCACTGCAGCCGCCACCTCCCGAGTTCAAGCAATTCTCCTGCCTCAGCCTACTGAGTAGCTAGGACTATAGGCGCTCAGCTAATTTTTGTATTTTTAGTGGAGATGGGTTTTCACCATATTGGTCAGGCTATGCTGGTTTCGAACTCATGGTCTCAAGTGATCTGCCTGCCTCCATCTCCCAAAGTGCTGGGATTACAGGCATGAGCCACGGCGCCCAGCCAAAAACCTGGAGTAGTTCTTAAATATCTTTGGGATAGAAACAGTCTATTTTCAAAGTACTTTGGTAAATTGGACTTCAGCCATTTTTTCCCCTTGATGAAATGGAACATATGTATGTGTAAGTTATTATTGTTTCATACATATTTATTTACTTTATTTACATTATTTATTTTATTAAATTAAGGCATCAGTGTTTTTCTGACCGAAGTTCTCATTTCCTGACGATGGAAATGGAACAAGAAAAAATGACCATGAATAAGGAATTGAGCTCAGACGCGGCTGCGTACTGCTGCTCGGCCTGCCACGGCGATGAGACCTGGAGTTACAACCACCCCATCCGGGGCCGGGCCAAGTCTCGCAGCCTGTCTGCCTCGCCTGCCCTGGGGAGCACCAAGGAGTTCAGGTACAACCAGGGAGGATGGTTCCTCTTGTTTTTCTCGTCTGATTTCATAATATTCTTTCTTAAAACGATTACAAAGAATTCTCCTGAGTAGTCTGTGTCGATGCATCCGGAAGGTGGAGCTGGGTCCTTGCCCAGGTGAAGCTGTGCCCTTGACGGGGGAGCCTGGCCTGTGGACACCTGCCTGGCACACGTTCCCAGATGCCAGCACAGGCACAGGGCACCACCGTGTTTCTTTGTCTGTCTGTATCAGCACAGAACCATCCAACTGGCACCCATGCTGACCCTTGATGTTAGACTGAAGCGAACTTGGAGGGGAAACTTTTCTTTTTGAGACGGAGTCTCGCTCTGTCCCCCAAGCTGCAGTGCAGTGGTGCGATCTTGGCTCACTGCAACCTCCACCTCCCGGGTTCAAGTGATTCTCCTGCCTCATCCTCCTGGGTAGCTGGGATTACAGGTACCCGCCACCATGCCTGGCTAATTTTTGTATTTTTGTAGAGACGAGTTTCACCATGTTGGCCGGGCTGGTCTTGAACTCCTGACCTCAGGTGATCTGCCCGCCTCGGCCTCCCAAAGTGTCGGGATTACAGATGTGAGCCACTGCGCCTGGCCTGGAAACATTTGCTCCACATAAGTCACTGGGGTGTGAGGGGACATCCCTCTTGGCTCTGCTCGTTTTGAGAGGCGAAGGCTGGGGGGCTCTGCCTGGTGACGCAGGGCTGGTGGAGGCAGAGTCGTGAGTGTGGCCTTGGGCGGGCCCAGCCCTCTCACATGTTGGGCAAGTGTCTCCCTCCTGTGCCCAGAGTGCCCACAGTGCTCACCCTTGCACAGTGCTGCTTGAGCAACAGCGCCCCGGGCTTCACATGACGGTGGCCGCACAAGTGCAGCTGCGATGGTGCCTGGGGACGTTGTTCTGGTCTGGTGACAGTAAATGTGGTGAGTTTTAGGTGGAAGCTTGCCAGAGCCACGCTGCCTAACAGAAGGATCACGCCTATCAAATGCGAGGGGGGCTTTTTGGTGAAAGAGAGTCTTAGAAAGCACGTCTCACTCGGTGAGATGGGAGAGCC